TAATATTAAAGGAACACTCCAAGCATTATAACCACTACAGCCCACAGTAGTAGTTATGGTTCCAGGAATGCCCATGCACCTTCCCAGTGTATGGAGTACATTTTTTATGAACATTTTTACCTATGGTCTATGTTGCGCCTGCCGCTGCCTCTTTTATCCCATTATGTGAACTGCCCATAACCTAAATTACTTTTCAGTTTAAACATAGTGCTAATTTTTAAATGTTTATGATAGTATTGTTTTGTAACACGTTCCTAATCACAAAATGTATCAGACTCTTATTTCCCCTTATTCAGACTCTTATTCCCTGCTTTTTTTTGTACAATACAAGAATTATGGTTTTTCTAATTTTCTCTCTAGCATAGAGGTATTTCATTTTATGGCATACCTTGCGTTAGATCTTGCTCGTATGTGTATATTGTATATTTGAAAGGATACCTCACAACATGAGCATGCCCAGATAACATGCACATTCACGGTTATAATATGTAGAGGGGAATGGGGGGAATGCCCTGACTTAATCTATTTGAAAGACTTAAGATCCCCCTAGTCATGATTGTATAGTTTTTAAAATCATGTGACAGGGCTTAAAAAGTTTTGTTTTAATCTTCCTAATGTGCAATATATTACTTTTATTAGTTATAGCGGGAAAGGACAAGAACAAATTTATCCAAAAAGCATCTTACTGAGGTTTGGGAGCATTGAAGACTTGTTTTGTTATGAACTGTAATTCAACTGAAATTGGGCCAATCAGGTAATTGTTTGCTTTCTTGAACTCTGTACTGAAAAATGTAGCTAAATCACAAAAAAAAGAAAGCTGAAATGACCAATCATGTTCATTTTGATTCGCGATTCGGAATTCCACCCAAAGATGAAAACAAACACATTGGTGGCTAGGGGACAGTTACTAAATTTTGATTTTATTCACAGATCAAGTGAGAAGTTACCAATCAAGAGAAAAAGAAGAAGCTTTAAAAAAATAGATCATTAATACAATTGTAACGGACCGTTTTGCACAAAAGGGGAAAAAAACGCTTAGACGATAATCCCCTTTCAGAGACAGGCACAGCTACTATAGAATCACCAAAACTCACGAATTGAATACAAGTGAATGCACCAAACTCCCGAACTGCATACAAGGGAATGCTCCAAACACTCGAACTGCATACAAGGGAATGGTCCAAACGCTCGAACTGCATACAAGTGAATGCTCCAAACTCCCGAACGGTATACAAGGGAATAAGGTAGCACTCCAAATACATGAACTGGAACCATACGAATTGCTGCTACCAGACGAACAGGAAAAGCTCCCAAGCGGCTTACACTCCTGGCAATCAGTCCTTAGCAGCATACAGTAAATCCCCCCAAAGACGAGACAAGGCTCCGTGTTGAGGGTCAAGCAGTGGTCTGTTTAATGAGGGCTACCTGCCCAGTATTTATGCAGGTCTCCCACCTGGTGGACACTCCCCTAGGGGACCAAATGGGAGACTGTGACAAAAGACAGACAAGTAGACAAATAGGACACACAGTCACAATATATTCCCACAATGCATCCTGGCTTCCTCTTCTCTGCCCTGGGAGATAATTGGGAAGTAATTAAATTATCTCCCAAGACAAAGGCAAAACTCCATTACACGTGTGGGGATACAAAACCAGTATTATACTTTAAAATACATAAAGTAACATTTATTACATAAAACACAGATATGTAACATATCCCCAGATAGCTCAGGTCTGAGCGCACATTATTAAGCGAATGGCGCTCAGACCACACGAATACAGCTTTTCTCCAGGCGAAATAAAGTCTTTTAAAAGGGGGCCATAGTCCAGAGGCAGCAGGCGAGCAACCAGGCTTCTCCAATGCAATGTGGCGAGATTGGTCTCGTCACATCTCTCCCCTTTTCCAAACAGACTAACAGGGTATCTGACCTCCTGCCGGTCAGTGCCCTTGTTAGTCCAGCAGCCCACCCACAAAACACAATCAACAGCACAGCCCACCCACAATAAATAGTTACTGCACCTGGGTAGAGGAGAAGCTTGTCCATGTCCAGGTGCCTCACCACGGCTGTGCTGGGTACGGGTACGCTGACTTGGTGGGGTGCTGCGTGGGCAGAGACCAGCGTCACTCTGCCCTGTGCCAGCGCTACTGGGAGGGTAGCCTGGTTGAAGCCTGGTTGTTGGAGGGGGAGACCGACTGTCTCCCCTTTAGATACACAGTCCTGCTGCTGGAGACCGACTGTCTCCCCTTTGGTTACACAGGTCTGCTGCTGGAGACCGACTGTCTCCCCTTTGGTTACACAGCTCTGCTGCTGGAGGGGGAGACCGACTGTCTCCCCTTTGGATACTCTAAGCTGTCGCTGGGGAGAGGGGGTAACAGGCTCCTCTCCCGATAGAACACTCTGCTGCTGGGGAAAGGAGACTGAGCTCTCTATTCCCTGCCCATTAATGATCCGCTGCTGGGGAGAGGTGGTAGCAAGCTCCTCTTCTATACATACTTTCATCCACTGTGGAGGGAGACCGACTGTCTCCGCTCCCAATGCAGAGTCCTTGCTGGATACTCTGCCGCTGGGGACTGGAGACTCTGCCGCTGGGGACTGGAGACTGGGCTCCCAATTCCCAACAAATAACACTGCCGCTGGGGAATGGAGACTGGGCTCCCAATTCCCAGAAAATCACGCTGCCGCTGGGGAGGGAGGACACTGCTCTCCTCTCCCTGGACTTCACACCGCCTTCCCGGCATATCACTCTGCTGCTGGGGGGCAGGAACAACTACCTCTGCCCCCTGTAACTCAGCCTGCCGCTGGGGAGGGAGGACGCTGCTCTCCTCTCCCTGCACTTCACACTGCCTTCCCGGCATATCACTCTGCTGCTGGGGGGCAGGAACAACTACCTCTGCCCCCTGTAGCTCAGCCTGCCGCTGGGGAGGGAGGACGCTGCTCTCCTCTCCCTGCACTTTACACTGCCGCTGGGGAATGGAGACTGGGCTCCCAATTCCTGGCATATCATACTGCCGCTGGGGAGTGGAGACTGGGCTCCCAATTCCCAATAAATCACATGGCCGCTGGGGAATGGAGACTGGGCTCCCAATTCCCTGCAGGACCGGTGGAGAGACCTCGGTCCCATCTCTACCGGCCACCTGGGGTTCTTCCCAGAAAATATCAACAATGTCTTCCCAGCTGAATGGGTCTGGAACTGGATCTGTCACCTTGCTGTCCTGCTGAATCTTCTCAATGGAGTGGAAGAGATCTTGGTAGTCCTGCTCCAGTTCCCACTCCAGGGTTACTAGGTGAGCCAGGTCTTGCTCAATGTCGTGAGTGTCGTCCCAGTCATACCTGCTCTCCCTCCACTCCAAGAGATCACTGAACCGGGCTTGTGTAGGGCTCCCAAATTCAGGCTCTGAAAAAGCCTCCCATAACAAGCCAGGACCATCAAACTCCCCTCCCTCTGGCTTGTCATGCTCGGCTGTCCAGGGCAGGTACTGTGCCCCATACCACCAGAGCGCCTGGTAGGCATCTTCCAGCCAAATCTCCTGCCATACCGGTGCTCCAATTCCTTCACCCATTCATCCAGGGGCTGCTCTCCCAGGAAGGGCATCCGCAGGGCCACTTGCTTCTGCAACCGCTGCTCTTCACTGGGGAGACTCTCGCCCCGCTGGTATTGTACATTATCCCGGGCCTGGTACCAGATGCCTTTCCTTAAAGCATCCCGGCCATCCAGGTCCTCCTCCTCGTATGACACTGCTGGTTCCATTCTGTTGCTGTCAGGGTCGCTGTACTCAGACATGCGTTGCCCTCAAATTGTAAATCCAAGGAATGGTGTCGCCTGTAGCTGTCCTGTAGTCTGTGGGAACGATCCCGCCGCTTGCCACCAATTGTAACGGACCGTTTTGCATAAAAGGGGAAAAAAAACGCTTAGACGATAATCCCCCTTTCAGAGACAGGCACAGCTACTGTAGAATCACCAAAACTCATGAACTGAATACAAGTGAATGCTCCAAACACTCGAACTGCATACAAGGGAATGGTCCAAACACTCGAACTGCATACAAGTGAATGCTCCAAACTCCCGAACGGCATACAAGGGAATAAGGTAGCACTTCAAATACACGAACAGGAACCATACGAATTGCTGCTAGCAGGCGAACAGGAAAAGCTTCCAAGCGGCTTACACTCCTGGCAATCAGTCCTTAGCAGCATACAGTAAATCCCCCCCAAAGACGAGACAAGGCTCCGTGTTGAGGGTCAAGCAGTGGTCTGTTTAATGAGGGCTACCTGCCAGCTTTTATGCAGGTCTCTCCCCACCTGAAGTGGACACTCCCCTAGGGGACCAAATGGGAGACTGTGACAAAAGACAGACAAGTAGACAAATAGGACACACAGTCACAATATATTCCCACAATGCATCCTGGCTTCCTTCCCTCTGCCCTGGGAGATAATTGGGAAGTAATTAAATTATCTCCCAAGACAAAGGCAAAACTCCATTACACATGTGGGGATACAAAACCAGTATTATACTTTAAAATATATAAAGTAACATTTATTACATAAAACACAGACATGTAACTTATCCCCAGATAGCTCAGGTCTGAGCGCACATTATTAAGCGAATGGCGCTCAGACCACACGAATACAGCTTTTCTCCAGGCGAAATAAAGTCTTTTAAAAGGGGGCCATAGTCCAGAGGCAGCAGGCGAGCAACCAGGCTTCTCCAATGCAATGTGGCGAGATTGGTCTCGTCACAACAATGTATTAATATTAGACATGTGCAATTCGGTTCGGTCTGAATTGAAATTCGGACAAATTTCAGACTTTCGGATGCTTCCGAATGTCTGAATTGCCGAATTTCCGAAGTGCCGAATTTCCGAAGTCCGAACAGAATTTCAGAAGTGCCGAATTTCAGAAGTGCCTAAGTGCTTTAGACTTTTGCAAAGTGGCAAAATGGGAAGGGGTAGGATTGGGGTTGGGGTAAGGTTAGGGGTACGGGTAGTGTTAGGAGTAGTGTTAGGGTAGGGTTAGGGGTAGGGTTAGTGTAGGGTTAAGGGTAGGGTTGGGTTAGGGTTAAGGGTAGGGTTGGGTTAGGAGTAGGGTTTGGGTTAGGGTTGGGTAAGGAGTAGGGTTAGGGTTGGGTTAGGAGTAGCCCTACTCCTAACCTAACCCTACTCCTAACCCTTCCCACTACTCCTAACCTTACCCTAACCCTAACCCTACTCCTAACCTAACCCTACTCCTAACCCAGCCCTAATCCAAGCCTAACCCTACTCCTAACACTAACCCTACTCCCAACTCTAACCCTACCCCTAACCCTACACTTACCCAAAGTGCCAAATTCCCAAACCGAACCGAAGTCCCAAAGTGCCGAAGTGCCGAATTTTGGAATGCCGAAACCAAATTTTTTTTGGCCATGCACATCCCTAATTAATATAGATTTTTTTTTTCTCCTCTTCTTTTTTTTTCTTCCTTTATTGGTTACTTTTTCTCCCTTGATCTATAAAGCAAATGGGGGAAATACACCAATCAGTGTACTGTAAAATATATACATACTATTTATATGACCTACCTTCTGGCCACCCTTGCAATAGGTATGTGGACAATTTATATGCACAGGGCAGGTAATCGGTAGCTTCCTCAATTTTAGTAGGTTTATTCAGATACCTTCTCTTCCCTTTGTAGTATTTTTTCATCCCTACTTTACGTACAAATACGAAATTGCTGTATAGTAGACACATCACCAGAGATGCCTTTTGGTTGCCAAGGCAGCAAATGTGTTCACACAATTCCAAAGGTCTGTAAGGAGACAGTTAACCTCTGCCCAAGTGACAGATTTTTTCTGAACATGCCTCAAAATGCAGAACTTGCTTACTGTCTCTGAGAGGAAATAAAAGATTTAATCTAGGCTGACTATAGAGGAATGCGTCCTGTCAACTCAGCTACATCTTCAGAGCTTGTCTTCAGAGGCCACCAGGGTTAAGCATTAAACTAAACGATGTACAGTCAAAGTGGTATGACTACCCAACCTTCTGTAATTTTATTAAACACATTACGTAGTCTAATACACACATATATCAAGATTATAACATTTTACTGCACCATCCTTCCATCTGTTCTAGTTGCACTTGTAAAATGGCCAGGCTATCATGATTGTGGTTTGCTCTGACATCATGCATGTGTCTGTAAGGATAAAATATAAATGTAAAAATTATAAGTTTATTCACTAATAGCAAGGGCTGGTAAACTGTTAAAGGCACACAATAGGCACTCAGACCGCTTCAGCTTATTGAAGTGGCCTGGGTGCACTTTCTCTATTGCACTTAGTGCTACAGAGCTAAACATTACAGTTCCAGAGAAACTGCAATGTTTACATTGCAGCACTAAATTTGCCTCCACTGGCTTTCTACTGGAACAGGTAAGTAAATAACGGGTTTTTTAGCTTCGTATTCCTGGCACTATAGTATCCATTTAAATGGTAAAATGTAAAATAGCTCACTTGAATCAGATTACTTAGACTTAAGACAGTAGTCAAGTCACTACAACTCACTGTTTAGTACAAAAATGTTTAATACAAAAGTACATTTTCAAAGAAGCTAAAGGAGACAATTGGGGTCAGCTTGGAAAATCAGAGGATAAGAACCTTTTTAAAACTCAATAGTTAGTTTTGCATGCTCAAGATTTTTTTATGCTGTTTTTAAAAGTAAACCTGAAATGTCATATTTTCTGCTTGTATAAGATGAACTCTTTAAAAGAAAAATAATAGTCGGTAATACCCAGTAATTGGTCTGTCTTTTGGAATACAAGAAGCGGACACATTTTCAGAACTCCCGAAGGGAAAGGGCAGCAAATTCACTTCTACTAAAACAAGAGTTAAACTCCACTCTCAGCTACAGTAGCAGCTGGCTAAACAACTCTATTACATCTTTACCAGAAATCCACTCAACATCTTGCTTTATTAATGTTGAAAGCCTTATTTACTAAAATTAAAATAAAGCTTTACTTTAATAATTACAGTAGAGCTAACAAATGACGTCTGAATGGAGGAGAAGCAATCTGCTTATATCTCTTAAGAGGAGACACAACTCAGATGAGTTCTTCATACAATGTGAATTTCCAATTTGTGCCTAACCACAATGTGCTAATCTGTCCGAAAGGCCTGCTAGTGACACATAATTAAAGTAGAAGTTGTAAACTTGCAAATTCCCAGTGTAACTGTTTGCAACATGGGATGATAAGTCCCCAAGAGCACGGTGTCCTCCATAATTCTTAAATAAAATACATTTATAATAACCAGGACTCTTCAACTAAGAGTCTGACTACTTATGCAAATGGTTTAGTTCATTTCTTTCTGTTTAATATGTTTGTTTGGTGTCGAAAAAACATTTGAAAAAAATGAATATCTTGTGAATGAAATGTGTTTATATATATATATATATATATATATATATATATACATATATATATATATATATATATATATATAACATTTTTATATTATATCAAATCAAAAGCTTTAACTGTTGTTAGTCAATATTCACAAATATCTGGAAAAAATTAGACAAAACATATTATAATATCAAGGAAATGTGGTTTGCCTTAGACTACATTGTGTGAGTGATTCAAATTCTGAACTCTTACTATGATGATCAAGTCTTGTAATTTAGATATTGAGGGGCTTACCATCCCCACCTCATCCTCCATTTTGTTTTTTCCTTTCCTTGTCTTGTACCCATTTCAATTTTATTTTGTTTTTGTATGTTGTGAAATGGAACACAATTTTATTGTTTAGATCATACATTACTCTTAAAACTTGTGTTAATGAAAAAAAATACATGCAATTTGGCAATTTTATTCCACCTAAGCTGTTTTCACTTTGAAATAATGCACACAAATCTGTCCAAGTTTGGAAAACAGTTATAGATTGCTATCCAAACACTTTCTCCATCGCATGAAAGCATTAACTAAGAACCGTATTATATAACAACGATGCAAGGGTTAAATGTTTATTGTTCTTAGTAACAGAAACAGATGTACTAGCCTAGATTCCTGCAAAAGCTATGCTCTGTGGGGATCATCTAATGTGCAGACCTCATGTGACCTCCTTCAGTCGCAGCAAAGTTGTTCCATGGGAGCAAGAGGTGAATTGCATAGCAAGATTTATTGCATAGCTTCAGTTTACTCTGGTGCATCAACATCCAGGGAGCTCATATACAGACATCTCTCAACTGTGACTTTAGGGAGTTTCTATTTCTAACATGGTTTCTATTTTTTAAAACAATAACATGTAAAATAGCACACAATACACATTTTAAAAGTGTATTAAAATTTTTTAAAAGTTAATCCACAAATGTTAAATTGACACCTCTATATGGATCAAAATTTTCATTCTAAGTAACCAGAAGCAATCATTTTGGTCTCTCGGTAATATTTGCCTGATAGCCTAGCACACAGAGAAAGTTATCCACATCTGGATTACCCTCTAGACCAGGATAGGCAACCCTCATCACTCCAGATGTTGTGGACTACATGTTCCATAATGCTCTTACAGCCATGGTTGATGGAGTCCACAACATCTGGAGTGCCGAAGATTGACAATCCCTGTTCTAGACCCTAGAAATATGCAATAAGATACCAAGAGAGTGCAAAAGTCCAACTTTATGCTAGAAAAATCCTTAGTCGAACAATTTAGATAATAATGTCTATACTTCTCTGGAACCTAGGATTGAAACTTTTGCCTGCCTGAAACACTGTTAGCAGAAACTGTGGCCTTAGATAACTTTATTTAAACTATTTTCTTTAAGTATTTCTATACTAGAATAATTGGAAGCAAATAACTAACAAATTATGTAAAAGTCAGACTTGGAACCTGTGAAAAGGTTTAGTATTAAAACTCAGAAACCATTCCAGGTTATAAGAAAATACTCAAGAGGCAGCTCACTGGTCTCCCATACAATATTAATGACCCCAACCTTGAGAGATGGAATACAGTTACTGGGGTGTCCTGAATTATTCATGGTCTTTGCTCTGGAGCATGCTTAACAGGACTGCTCCTGTCAGTGCGAGATATCCTGATATCGATTTCCCTTCCGTCCCTCTAGCCATTCACTTCGAAGCCAAAAGCAGAGCAATGAAGGACAGCATGCTTTGCAATGTCTATGCGTTGGAGAATGCCGGTCTCCGAAGTGGAAGATACAGGTGTCCATATCTTTAATGGAATTGTTCATAATTTAGTACTAGAGTACATCTCAACATAATTGTGATTGTATGTGCTTTATTTACCATAAATAATTAGATGATATTAAATGGAAATAAAATGTAATGTAACTCTATGTAACATTTATAAATATATGTTAAAACTGCAGTGTCCTTATAAAATCCCTTTACTTGCAACAAATTATTTATTATTATTATTTATATAGTGACAACGTGTTACGCGGTGCTTTATTATTATTATTATTATTATTATTGCCATTTATATAGCGCCAACAGATTCCGTAGCGCTTTACAATATTATGAAAGGGGATTTAACTATAAATAGGACAATTACAAATAAACTTACAGGAACAATAGGTTGAAGAAGACCCTGCTCAATCGAGCTTACATTCTATAGGAGGTGGGGTGTAAGACACATTAGGACAGGAGATCATAGAATGGGTACAATTTACAATCATAGAATGGGTATAACGGACGAATAGTTGACATACACATTTTTAACTACAACTACTTCCTGTACAGGAAGAAGGGAAGGGCTAAAGTATATATCAACATTTTAAAATAATGCTTACCACAGGAATGAATTTCATATTATTAAAGGAAAACTCCAAGTACCATAACACTGCATAGGTTATAGTACCAGGAATGCCCTGGAGCCCACTCCCCAATGTAAAGTATTAAAACCATTTGCTTAAAAGGTGTTGCCAACATAAGATGGGCAAATATTAGCCCATTTTAAGCATAATCTGGTCAGTGATTGCCACTAACACTATTCAGAAAGATGAGATAGCCATAGTGATACAATGAAACATACACATTGGATACAGGGCTGGGATGGACTGATATTGTGTGATTGTCTTTCTGATATTTGATGCTGGTCTGGCCACCACATAAGTACATTTACAAAGGAGCACACTTGTATCCCAAATAGGCACTATCTTATTTAAGTTGTTATAGTGCCATAAACATGCCCCCTTTGTCCTGTCCTTCACTTCTCTTTCCTTCTCTTATTTTAGGCCTGAAAAGATGGCTTCTAAATTCTAATTCAGAGAGTCTGGAAAAATATCAAAACACTTAGCGTGTTGACTTTGAAGGAGCTGCAGTTATA